GCGTGGCAGTTCTTTGGAAGGGGCTGTGCTGGGGACAAGGGAGGCTCGCTGGGAGCGCGTGTGGCTGGGTGCTGCTCTGCGGGAGGTTTTGATAAAACCGACGGGGAGTTCGGGGGGACGGGGCTTGGGCCGGGTCCGCCTTAGCTTCTCCTGCTGAATTTTGGTAGCTTGTTGAAGCAGAAGCGGGGGTCGCGGCGCTGACGCAGCGTTGCTCTGTGCAGCAGGGGGGCTCGGCGTTCGTGCCGCTGGTGCTGAGCCGCGCCGCGCTGCGCGCCATGAGCCGCAGGGACGTGCTGATCAAGCGCTGGCCGCGGCCGCTGCGCTGGCAGTACTACCGCTCGCTGCTGCCCGACGCCTCCATCACCGTGTGCCCGTCCTGCTTCCAGGTACTGCCGCGTGCGGGGCCTGCCCGGGGCCTGGCGGGTGAAACAGGGCTAACCATTGAAGCCTCGTGCTCTGAAATGTGCTCAGCAAATTCCCGAATGAGGTGGCGGCAGGGCAGTGAAACCCCAGCTCCGAGCTGGGTGGTGGACAGGGGAACAGCTGTCCTGGAAGACTTGGCCGTAGCTGAATTTGACAGCAAGTCAGAACCTCTTGAGCCAGCCTTGGCTGACCAACAGAAGCTGATTTGTATTTATTTCCTTTTGCTCTGTCTCTCTGACTTGCAGCCTGGCCTAGCAAGGAAAGCCAGTCAGTGACTGTTGCCTTGGGTTCAGTCCTGCTCCTGCCTTGCTCAGAAATGACTTTTTGAAATGCTGGAATTCAGTCATGTTTGCTTACTGGCTGCCTAATTGTCCATCCTTTTGCAAAAGTAGTTAGCAGGTTTGTGCCCTCTCAGCCGCTCTGGCAGAGGTCTGGGAAGTGCTTGTTGCTGTGTTCCAGGCTGTAGCATCCCAGGTGATTGAAACCAAGAGGCCCAACTCCCTGTGCTGGTAGTTCCAGAGTATCTGTGCTATTGAGCAGCCGTTGAACTCAGTTTGTATTTTCTTTGAGCAGGGTACAGGCTAACTTGTTTTAAATCTGTTCCTAATTAACAGATGTTTCACACAGAAGACTATGAGCTCCTCATACTCCAGAATAATTGTTGTCCGTTCTGTCGGCGGAGAATAGATGAGTCAAACCAATGAAGAAAACCACTCTTTTACCTCAACAACAGACTCCCCTGTTGGCTTGGCAGAACCCTTCTTAGATCTGTAGAGCTTTCCTAATAACTTAGTTACATCATCTTGTTTCATTTTGTATGTAAGAGTGCAACCAAGTTGAAAAATTGTAACTATTTTTTTAAATTAAAACGTCTGTTTTTTGTGACTCTGCTCTGCATTTTCCAGGCAAGCAGCTGAAGTGCCACAGAATTTTACAGGAACATTTCTAGAATCAAGTTCAGCCTTCAAGTAATTGGTTTTACTCCAGATTGTGCTCCTTAACACACACCAGTTATTGACAGATCTTCAAATAAATGGGACTATTTTTCGCTATTTATTGTCTCAGAATTTGCTGTAATACTCATGCTTCTGATCGGAAATTTTTTCCCCTTTCTATTCCATTTAGATAAGAACAGCATTTAGAGCCCTTTAAATATAATCTGAAGAGCTCCAGTACTCTTGGCACTGGGGGCATCTCAGAGCCACCCTGGGGCAGGTGGTGGCTGGCTCTGTGTGGAGCTCACCTGGCTGAAGTGCAGCACGTGAGGCTGTGCACACCTGAGCTCCGTGCTGCTGCCACGGAGGGCTGTGCCAAGGGGTGCTGCTGAGCAGGGTGTCCCCAGCACCGTGTCGGTCCTGAGCCCAGCACGAGCTCACAGAGCATGTGGCAGGAGGCAGAGCTGCTGCTCTCTGCTGCAGCCTCTTGTGGAGGCCTGAGACACGGGGGGCATCAGTCCCAGGCAGCACCTGAGCCCCTACAATGGCTCGCTCTGCCTGCAGGACTGGGCAGGAAACAGGAGAGCAGAGGCCAAGAAACTCCTGTGTTGGGATAAAGACAGTTTAATAGCTGCAGCACAGCTCTGCGTGCAAGCAAAGCAAAGCACGAAGGAATTTATTCCCTGCTTCCTGGAGAGCAGGGCTCAGCATGAGTAACTGTCACTTGGGAAGGCAAACACCACAAACACAACATCCTCCTTCCTCCCCCTTTCCCCGAGCTTTTATTTTGGAGCACAACATCACGCCTTTGGCCAGCTGTCCCGGCCCGTCCCTGTGTTCCCAGCCCTGCCGTGCTGTGGCCGAGGGGGACAGGGCGGGCAGGATGGATCCCGCAGGGCTCTGCCCCGGTGTGTTCCCAGCTCCAGCAGCAGCGCACGGCACCCCGCGCTGCTGGCAGGGAGGTGATCTCCGTGCCAGCGGCACCGGCGCACCCCGGGCAGGAGCCTCACCAGGATGGGCACAGGGTCATTCCCAGCAGCAGCAAGATCACACAGGTAACCAGCTTGGCTGGAGCTGGGAAGTGGTGCCTCTCTTGACTTTAATCCAGTGTAAGCTGTGCCCGTGGTGCCATGAGTTGAGTTGTGATGGCAGCCTGTCCGTTCCAGCCTGCTTTACCCTGAGTGGGAAAGGACCTGAGCAGCTGGCTGAGGTGGTCGGTGCTGGCAGGGCAGCTCCCTCGGGAGCAGCACTTTGCACGTGATACGGGATGTCTGTCTGCTCGAGTTCCTCTGGAAAAGGAGACCCTGCAATCACTGCCGAGCTTCCGAGTCCCTCAGTGGTTCCTGACCAAGTTTGCTTGATTTACCACTTTAAAAACATTCTGTTCTAATTACAGCTCGTCTGCTTTCTGACTCAGCTGTCACTGTTTGCAGTGAAGACTCTGCTATTGACATGGATAAACAATGCTGTTTGAGATGGGAGCCAGGGTAGAATTTAGTTCCTTCTGGAACTGAGCTGGCTGTGCAGAGCCAGTGGGAGTGAAAAATTATAAAACTGAAGAGAAAGGGTTTGCTGTGACACAAAGACAAAATGGACCAAGACAAAATGGACCAATGTTTTTTTTAAACAGCTCTGTGAATATAGTCTAGCTTTGAAAAGTGTTTTGGGTTTTTCTGGGCAGAAGCACTCTGCATGTTTCATACGTACATGATGAAGGGTTCTAGTCCAGGCTGCCCTGTGCCATGGAGCCCACCAGCTGGCTTCACGCTGAGGAGTCCCTGGAGGTACAAGAGGTCCCAGCACGGCACTTTGGTTGGAAATTGTGGGCGATTTCCGTTCCTCCATCTCTCAGCTGCCTGCCTGTGCCACTGCTGCATCCAGTGGTGACGCACGCCAGCCCTAAGCTCTGCAGAGCAGCTGCTACCTCAGCAGTGGCTTATTGCATCAGCTTAAAGTGTTTTAGGAAATAAACCTTTAATCCCTGTGTGCCCAGGTACAAGTGTAAAGAGCTGCATTTGCAGTTAGAAAGTGGCACTGCTCTGGCCTTGGAAACAAGTGTGAGAAATTAAGTGAGAGGGGCTTAGGGTGAACAGAGTGTGTGTGAGGACCTGGTGTTTTCGTGTTAAGGTGAAGGAAGACCTTTGGGACTGACCAGAGGCTGGGCCTGCATTGGCTGCCAGCAAGGTCTGCCCTAGTCCATGGTGCCAGCACTTCAGCTCCTTCCACCTTCCCCACTTAGAGGGCAGGTTTCCCAGCTTGGTCTCTGCTCTAAGGAGAGTACAGTGCTTTGTGCTTTTTTCCATTAAACTTATTTCTGAACTAGCTTACAAGGAACATTGGTGAAAACTAGGCCAGGACTGGAGGAAGTTTATGAGGGCCAAGAGGACAGGAACTTCTGCCCACTTTACACCCATGAGCTCCAGCAGCTCTGGTACATCCTCCTGTACTGGACGAGGCCCCCGTGTTCACCTGCTCCTGGCTGTGAGGAATGCTCAGCTCAGCCCTCAGTGCAGACAAAACAGCAAGGGGAGGTGGGTGCCCAGCTCCCTTCCAGCCTCTGTCACCTACAAAGGGGCAGATCAAAGTCTCTCTTTGTGCTCACCTCCTGTACGTTCTGTCCCACTGCCTCTGAAAAATTAAGATAACTCAGCTGTGTAACTCAGCTTCTGGTTGGCACAAGGAATGTTTCAAGCACAACTGAGTGCACAGAGTGGTGAGACAGAGAGACATAGAGGGCACAGAAGGCTCCAACAACAGCCTTCCCTGTGGAGTTTGATAATTATGTGAGGTTTGAGAAGAGTGAGGTTGTCTGTCAACCAGTATATGAAGCTGAGTGCTGGCTTCAGTTCTGAACATCCCATCAGTGCCCTGGTCCAGCAGCTTTCTCAGCACCATTGCAGAATGATTCCAGTCCAGGACACATGGACTAGGTAATTTATTAGCTGTTACCAATGGAGGTGGCACGACCCAAGTCAGATACCAAGGCACAGAGGGGATGGCACAACTGGTAACCTGCAAGTGGGCCAAGTGTTTCATGGTGGTGGTCAAACCTCCACAGCCAGATCCTGAGTAGAGAGGTGGCTGGAGCCTGTGGAGGAAGGTTTGGTCATGCTGCCTTCTGCAGCCTGCCACAGGGACTGGCAGTGTGTGGGGATGGTTCTCCAGTGGGGACTGGCTGGTCTCACAGATCCAGTTCCCCTTGTGAGAATGGGGCTGGGACACCTCTGCCACTGAGGGACCACACCACGCCTGCTCAGCCAGGCCACCATTTGCAGCCCCCAAACCCACAGTCCTGGGGTGTGAACCACACATGTCCCTCCTGTTAGTGGGGAAGGGAAAGGAAGAGCTCCTGTGCAAGGGAGCTGCTGCCTGGTTTGAGCCCTTCCAAATGAATGGTGTGCAGAGCTACCTCTTTATATATGTGACCATGAGCCGTGGTCTCCAGCAATGACAGTGCTGGGCAGAAACTGGTGTCACCTTAACACCTTCCCAGGAAAGCCAATTACCCTGGGATGATTATGATTAATAATTCTCTAAACCCTAATTGTGCTGACACCAGAGCCTGGAGCTTACCCCAGGGGCACTTTATAAGAGGTGCCCTGTGGAGGAGAGTGTAACTGATTCTCCTTGGGGCGACAGTGAGGGCTGAGACGTGGCAGGAGTTCCATTCCAGAGGCAGTTTTCCCCTTGCACAAAAGAACTCCCAGAGTAAGAGCAAAAAGCGCCTCACAAACTGCAGCCATGAACGGGACAGAAGGCCAAGACTTCTACGTGCCCATGTCCAACAAGACCGGGGTGGTGCGGAGCCCCTTCGAGTACCCCCAGTATTACCTGGCTGAGCCTTGGAAGTTCTCGGCGCTGGCTGCCTACATGTTCATGTTGATTCTGCTCGGCTTCCCCATCAACTTCCTCACGCTGTACGTCACCATCCAGCACAAGAAGCTCCGCACACCTCTAAACTACATCCTCCTGAACCTGGCCGTGGCCGACCTCTTCATGGTGTTCGGGGGCTTCACAACCACGATGTACACCTCCATGAACGGGTACTTTGTCTTTGGAGTAACAGGGTGCTACATCGAAGGCTTCTTTGCCACACTGGGCGGTAAGTTTTCCAAATATTCAAATATCTTCTGCCAGAAATTTCCCCGGATTTTAGTAGTGGGAGGGAAAACACAGATGATCTTGGAAAAACGTGGTACCTGTAATGTGCTTGACCTGCTGCTGACGTGGACTGAGGGCATTTGCCCTGTTTCTGGGTAGGAGCTGAAGAAAGTGACAAGTGACACTTTTAAAAAAACCTTTCTTTTGGGAGCCACCTGCTCAGTATCCTGAGAACCACAGTGCAGCAATGAAAACCAGCCAATACCAGATCTTGCAGTTGTTGGATTTGTGCATCTCCTTGGCTCACTTTCTGACTCAAGAGATGACAATTTTGTTCCTCCTATTTTGCAGGGCTGAATCTGCCATTGGCTCTGGTGTGGTGCATGGTGGTACAGGCAAGCAGAGCTGGCTCTCCTCCCCATGCCAGCCTGGTATGGAACCAAACAGACGTGAAACAGAAATTGTGTGTCTAAAAATGTCCTCCTCCATTTGTCTCAGCCTTCAGCCACTTCTACTGTTTTAGTGATTTGGTCCTTGTGGCACAAGTTGCCTGGGAAGCTGTGGGTAGTGAGGGGAAGTCCTGGGATGGTGGGCACTTGCTGCATATCAGTGTGACCACAGGCTTGCAGGTGCAGATGCTGTCTGGGATGAACGGTGGGATCAGCCTTGAATCTCAAAACACTGCAGCAAAGTGGTTCCTGTGGGTCAGCAGTACAGTGAGAAGGGGTCTTCTCACACTGTCCTACCACATCTGCCCTTGAGCATTCTTCATTTATCTTTCTGAACCCTTGTCAGAGATTAAGCTTCTGCCAGGGGTTGTCCTCAGGAACATCAGTCTGAGGAGGCCTCATGCTGCCATCAGGGTGGTTTCTTTCCCTGCTCAAAGTGCCTGTGTCCCTTTCTGTCCCTCTCCCTGGCGCAGGTGAAATTGCTCTCTGGTCACTGGTGGTCCTGGCTATCGAAAGATACGTAGTGGTCTGCAAGCCCATGAGCAACTTCCGCTTCGGGGAGAACCATGCCATCATGGGTGTTGCCTTCTCCTGGATCATGGCCTTGGCGTGTGCAGCTCCCCCGCTTTTCGGCTGGTCCAGGTAGGGAGGGCATGGGCCCAGTGCCAGGGGTGTGGGAGCCTGGCTGGTGGCTCAGCTGTGGCTTCCAGCCAGTCTCCTCTGCTGGGTGCTGACCTGCTGGGCTCACCTTGCAGGTACATCCCTGAGGGCATGCAGTGCTCCTGTGGGATCGACTATTACACTCTGAAGCCAGAGGTCAACAATGAATCTTTTGTCATCTACATGTTTGTGGTTCACTTTATGATCCCACTGTCAATAATTTTCTTCTGCTATGGGAACCTGGTTTGCACTGTCAAGGAGGTGAGTACCTGCCAGATGCAGCGGCCAGTAGGGCTACTACCCCTGTCCCCAGTGCTAGGAAGGGACCCACACCAGGTTCAAGAATGGTGCCAGGGACAGTCCTCCAGGGGCCAGCCTGGCCATCCACGAAGAGGGAAATAGCAAACTCCAGATGTGCAGCTTGGCTGCCGTGAGCCCTGAGCCTGTGTCCCTACGGGTGCAGCACCCACGGCTCCATCGCGTTCCCGCTCCCTTCTGCCCGCAGGCTGCCGCCCAGCAGCAGGAGTCTGCCACCACCCAGAAGGCAGAGAAAGAAGTGACTCGCATGGTCATCATCATGGTCATCTCCTTCCTGATCTGCTGGGTCCCCTATGCCAGCGTCGCGTTCTACATCTTCACCAACCAGGGATCAGACTTTGGGCCCATCTTCATGACCATCCCGGCATTCTTTGCCAAGAGCTCAGCCATCTACAACCCTGTGATCTACATCGTAATGAACAAACAGGTAACCGGCAGGGTGCCAGGAAACCCCTCTTTTGTGTTTCTCTTTATAACAGCTGGCAGACAGTTACAACATCTCAAGGTGCCAGTGGTCTGGAGCAGGGATTGTTTCCAGGCAGTCTAGTCCTGGCACATGGGAAACCGACTGTGCAGCTCATCCTTGGTGTCGCATAAATCTCACAAATGCAAGGCCATTCCACCTGAAATAATGCAGGTGCTGGGTTGATGGAGGAGCCATGACGGGAGCAGGCAGGGCTGGCAGTAGATGGGGTGGGCAGCAGACAGTGGGACAGGAGACTCCATATAGGCATAGTTCTTCCTGCACCACAGTACTGCTGGGCTTAAAGACAGTCTGCAGCTAGAGCTGATGGTGTCCAGCTGGCTCACCCTGGGCTTCCCTCTCTCCCAGTTCCGTAACTGCATGATCACAACCCTCTGCTGTGGCAAGAACCCACTGGGTGACGAGGACACATCTGCTGGCAAGACAGAGACCTCCTCCGTCTCCACCAGCCAGGTCTCTCCTGCATAGGCCCCATGGGAGCAGCCAGTCCCTGGGGTGCACCCTGGCAGCACAAACTTAACCCCACCACTGCCACCACCTGCCCCTGCTTCACCGTGGCCAAGGCCCTGTGGGGCAGGCTCCTCGCTCCTGCCTCTAGGAACCCTGGGAACAAGGCTGAAAATGTGTACACACGTTTTGTAATTAAAATGCAAAGGCTTAGCTCCTCTGGCGTAAATCCGTGCATTTCTGTTGACTTGCTGAGACCTCATGCCCCTTCTCTGAGTGCAGGCTGGGTCGGAGAGCTCGTGCCTGGGCCATGGCAGAGCTGTCCTTGCCTCCCTCAACCCACCCTAACACCCCAGCCAGGGCACGTTCTGCATCTGCTGCTGCCAGGGCCAGAGCTGGGGCCGTTTTCTGGCCCTTTGGTCAGAGATGGATGCTGGCCAGTGCTGCCGGTTGCTCAGCCCCATCACACCCTGTCTGCCCAGAGCACGTCTGGTGCTGCCAAGTGCCCCGGCTCTGCCAGATGCTCCCAGCTCTGGCCCCGTCCCATCTGCCAGAAGTCCTGGGAGAGGCTGTGATTCCTCCAGGGGGATGGGACAGACAGCGGTGCCCGGGTGCCGCCTGGCAGGCGGGTGGCACGGCAGGCCCTGCCAGCGCAGCGCAGCCGCGTGCAGCCACAGCTCTCCGGGACAGCTCCGTGCTCAGTCCTCCAGCACGGCTGCCGCAGCACACGGATGGTGTTTGCACCCTCAGCAGCAGCAGCAGCAGCAGCTCTGCCCCGTGTCCCCCAGCAGCCCTTCCCCGCAGTCCTGCCTCTCTTCCTCAGGCATCTCTGGACCCCTAGGGCCAAGCCCCCACAAGCCTGCCCGTGCCCCTCCCCGTTTTGGCTGTGGTCAGTTTGGCCCCGGCCCAACAGGAGGTTTTGGGCAGCTCTGGGGCTGCTGAGGCCTGCCGGGCCGGGGCTGCTCTCCCTCCACGCCGCAGCAGGCAGGACCCAGCAGCATATGGCTCAGCCATGCCGACATATGTTCGAAGCACTACAAGATGGCACATTGCAATTGTAGCGGTGTTCTTCATTTTTATTTTTAGTTCAGTTATACAAATAAGATGTTTTTCTCACTGTTCAGTGTTATCAACATTTGAAACTATTTTTGTACATTATTATCCTCTCTGATTTCTAATCCTATGCAGCTTTGCAAGGACTAATAGGGAATGTATAGAGCCCATGCGAGTTAAACCCTTAATAAAGAGCAATTTGCAAGTACAATTCTCTCATTATTTTTTTTATCGATACTTCTGCATATTCAGTGAAATCTAAAGATTAGAGTTTTATGAATAATTCAGTGTTTAGGCTGATGTCTGATTCATGCTCTTCGAATCTGGGAGGTGGTTTTGGAGGGAAGAGGAGGAAGGATTCAGTGTTTATTTGCTGTCTGTGAGGCTGTGCTCCACAGGAGTGTGGTGATGCCTGGCACTGTGGCTCTCCCGCCCATGGAGGACCAGCCCTGGCACAAGGCCTGGCCCCAAGCCCCCAGGCTGTCCCCACACTGTGACACCTGGCTGCTGCTGCTGGGGCCAAGCAAGGGTTTGGGACCCTCCTGCCAGTTCAGCCAGGTGCCAGAGGCATCACAGAGCTACCAGAGAGGTGATAGATGGATCCAGGATGAGGAACTGCACCCAAACCTTCTGGTGCCACCCCCAGCAGCTCACTGTCCCCTTCCTGGGGAATTCAGAAATGGACTGGAAATGAAGCAATAAACAGGCTGGTGCTGGTCAGGGGAGGAGGAGGGCACGTGGGGCTCCAGGCACTGGGTCTATCTCCCAGCTCCCTGCTCCAGACCTGGCTCTTGCTGGCACCTCAGCCAGGATCTGGCCCCTGGGCTCAAGAGGTGGGTGCAGGCCTTGACAAAGATCTCCACGGGCAGTGCTTTTCAGGCGCATTGCTGTGGTCTGCTGAGATGGCCACGAGCCAGTCCTGCCACCATTTAATCCCACTTTACAACTTTCTCATGTTTCCAACAGACAATGCACACAAAATCCCTGTGAGTCCTGTGTGAAGTGGGCAGTCCCCGCCGCGGGGACATTTGCAGTGGGGACTGGGTGGGGAACAGTGGGGACAGTTTCTACACCAAAGAGCCATTGGTGTTTTACCCAGGCTCTCCTCACAAGCACAGGTGCCTGCACGGAGGGGTCATGGAAGTGCCGTGGCTGCCATGTCCAGGGCTGGAGTGCTCTCCCCTGAACATGGGATTCAGTGGGTGGGGGCAAATTGTTGTCATGCTTGTGACACCTGGGGATGCTGGGTGAGAGTTGCTCCTCCTGCCTCTGCTGCCTAACCAAGCAGCTCTTCATTTTCCTCCTCTCACTTGTGAAATCTTCTCCCCTCACCATTTTCAGAGTCCCATTTCCTAGTGAGGCCATACTTGGCAAGGGAGAGAGCACATCCCACCTTCACCCTGGCAATGGTTCTGTGTGGGCCCCATGCTCTGGGCTGGTTCCCTGTGCACCCCACAGCAAGTGTTGTCAGCAAGCTGCAATCCCAGCACCCCAACACCCAACCTGCAGCAGGTAGACACCTTTTGTCTGCCTGTTCAGGGCACTCACCTGCAAAGCCCCATCTCTCATCCTTCTCTAAACCCTCTGCTTAGATGTGCCCCTTCTCCCTGCAGCCCCTCACAAAGCTTTGGCAAAGACCCTTCAACTTCCAGACCCTGGCTTCCACCAGGGCTTCGACCACAGCAATTAGCAGCTGCCAACCAGCACCTGCAGCCAGGCTGCTCATCAGATAAATTGGATGGAGGTGAGCTAGGTATGGCAGTAGAGTTTGTGCTGCTGTGGGTGGAGGTGTCTGTGACTGCCTGGGTTTGTGTGCTGCCATGGAGCCTCAGTTGGGTAAGGGGGTCTTCTGCAGGTGCTGTGGGGTCCCTCAGAGCTGGAGCTTGGCTCATGCTCTGGGCTATGGTGTCTCTGCTCCCTGGGAGGGCTGCAGGGATGAGCAGGCCTGTGGCTGCTTGGCGTCTGGGGGCTTTGAGGCTGCTGGGGGTGTGAATGTCTCAGACTGGACTTCAGTCCCAAATGGTCCCTCTTGCAGCGGCCAAAGCTGCTGGCATCGTCCCACGCTATCCGGCCCACCACCCTCCAACCCTGCAGATGGTCAAGGAGGCACTGCGGGCCCACGATGCGAGGAAGGGTGCCTCTGTTGTTGCAATCAAGCGTTTCATCCTGGACAAGTACCCCACTGTGGACCCCATCCGCCTCAAGTACCTGCTGAAGCAGGCGCTGAGCAAGGGGCTGAGCTGCGGGGACCTGGTGCGGCCCCACAACTCGTCTGCTGTGGGGGCCACCGGCACCTTCAAGGTGAGCAAAGGCTGCTGCAGCCACAGCGCTGGGGACTGAGGTGCTGGCCGGCCCTTTGACACCCCTCTCTCACCTCCAGTTAGCACGCAAGAAACCAGGGCACAAGCAGGAGCTGGGCCAGGCAGATCCTGACGGGGGACAGGCCCCAAAGCCAGCACAGAAAGGGACCACCAAGGACCCCCAGGCCCCCGTGGCAGGAGCACGACCGCGAGGTAAAGGGCTGCGGGTGCTGTGAGCGAGCTGACACGGCCTGGCCTGGCCTGGCCTCACCGCTGCCCTTCCTCCACAGGTGCCAGCAAGCAGCAGCCGAAGGCGAAGCCCGTGAAGGTGAGTCGGGGCCAGCACGGGGCTGGGTGGCTCGTGGCACAGCAACACCCTGAGGGGCTCTCCTCTCTTCCCTCCAGGCCCAGCCACGAGCAGCAGAGAAGCCCAGGAGCAATAGAGTGAAGCATCCCCAAACTGCTGACCGGCCCCAGGCTCATGGCCCGGGGCCTTCAGGGCCCCCAAAAGCTGCTGGCCACCGCCAGGCCCCCCGAAAAGGACGCTCAGGACCCAGCACAGCTCGGGCTGCTGAGAACACGGGAGGGAGCGATAGCGACAGCTCTGGAAGTGCTGGGGTGAAGGGGCCCCAGAAGGCCCCCCGGGGAAAGAGCAAGGTGAAGGTGCCCAAGAGGGCACAGCAGGACGCCCCCAAGACACAGGGAGGTCAAGATAAGGCGAGGAAGCCCCGGGTGACTGCAGGAGATGGGCAGGGGAAGGCCAGGATGAAGAAGGCAGCCCCTGTGGCAGCAGACAGAAAGGCTCCATAGGGAGCTTGGTCCTGCTTCCGCTGGCCCCAGGACCTTGGGGTCTGTGCTGGTCTCTGTCCCTAGGACAGGTTTTAACTCTGTGTTGTCCTCACCCTAATAAAGCTTCTTTACTTGCCTCATGAAACGGCATGACTGTTGTGGGTCCCTGTCCCTGCACTTCCATCTCAGTGCCAAAATCCCTTAGCCCTCTCCTCAGCCTGCATGGCATGGTGGTGAGCTGATGCTGCAGGCAGCTGCCTTGCTCCCTGCCCTCACTTCTCTCTCTGTCCCCATGTGTCCCCAGCTGTGGTGCCAAGGGGCTGCTGGGCTTGGGGGCTGTGTGTGTGCAGGATGACAGTGTGCCAGGTGATGGGCAGGGACCCCGAGACCCACGGGACACAGCATGGTGACATCCCCAGGAGCAGAGAAGCTCGAGCTTGGCCGGTGCTGTTGTGGAGCCATGGTGCCCATGGGCTGTGTGTGTCCAGCCCTCTGCTGTCCTGGCTGCCCTTGTGCTAATGCCTGGCTGAGCTGGGATTACAGCAGCACCAGGGAGCAGGTCTGGGTGCCATGCCATGGGCAAGTGTCTCCCAGCAGAGGTGAAGCAGCCCGTGCTTTAACTACAGTAAGAGAAGACAGAGGTGCCTTGGGGCTCAAAAATCAAGTTTGGGGTGTTACTGTAGCCTCCAGTGCAGCTCATGCTCTTATTATCAGTCTATGGCACAGTTCCCACCTACAAACTTTTCTTGTGAGCTCCCGTGGATCAGTGTATCACACTTCCATTTAATAGCTTCAGTTGCCTGAATTCCTCTTGCTCTGCCCAGAGCAGGGCCCTTCTGAAGGTCATGCTGATCATGTAAAGGGTTACAGTCCTCCTGGGTGGGAGAAAATAAGTGGAAGTAAAACTCTTTCCAAAGAGGATTTCGTTAATCTGCAACTGGCCTTGCCATTGCCCTCCAAGGCTCCTGGCCTTGCTTTGGGGCTTAAGCAGGAGCTGAGCAAACTAACTTCCCTTAAACTTCAGCCTTTCTGTACTGATCCATCTTTAATGGAACTGGAACTCGTGTCCCTCCAGGGACAAGGTGGGGAATGTGGCAGCACTAAGTGAGCGGAGTTCACTGGCTTCTCAGATGGGGGTGGCCTCACAGAGCACCACTCACGTGTGGCAGTGTCCCCAGCAGCGCCAGGCAGGGACTGTGTCCTCCCTCTCACCAGCCACCAGCTGTGACATGCAAAGCTCTCCTGCTTTGAGAGAGGCCAAATAATTTAATGGCTGGATTTAGCTTTGCAAAGAAGCAACTTCCTAGTGGAAGAAGAAAATCCCTCTGGTGTCTGGAAAGCACAGCTTTTACTAGTGCAGGGGAAGATTTAGCAATGCCGTGGTTATTAGGGGCCCTGGGCCACAGCTGGTGTCGGGGTGCTGCAGCTGCAGACCCAAGTCCGGTGCAGGCAGGCACCTGACAGAGGAGAGGGTGCCTGGCAGCAGCTGCTCCTGTGGGTTACTGATCTCCAGCGCTGGTCAGTTCAGGCGCTGTTGTCCTCATGCTGGCAGTCCCCTCCCGTGCCTGGTCCAGGAAGGAACTGGGGCATTGGCTGTGGGAGCGGTGTGTGTGAGGGTACAAACCTGTTCCCACTGCACTGCTGACCCCACACATGGTGTGTCTTGCATGTGCAAAACTTGTCTGTGCAGGTGTCATCCACGTGTGTCCTCCCCGTGTGCTTGCAGGAAATGCACACCACAGGTTCAGCACCTTGTTTTATTACAAAGATAGGCTTTGCCAGGAGTCTGCCACTTCCACTACACAGCAGGTAAGGGCACTACACCCACAACACGTGCCAAAGTTTAAAAACATCTTACAAAGGGCTTGGAGGTTCAAGGCAACACTACAAACCCTCTGCTAAAGTTGTTCCTTTAAATGGTTGTAGCAACTACTTTTTCTTTTTTTCTGCTTTTTTTTTCCTTTTTTTTTTTTTTTTTTGGCTTTGGAAAAGAATTAAATAATAAAACAATAGCCCCAATATATGGCCCAGCCACAACACCTGGAGGCAAACTCTACTTACTCTTAGCTCACCTGTATCCTTTCCCTGTAATAAACAACATGGTCCTTTCCCTGCCTCCAGCCAAGCTCAACATTCTCTGCTACCTTGGTCCTTCTCACCCTGGCCTTTCTTGTGCTGGGCCTGCCTACATCTCTGGCAGCTATTCACAGTTTCTAAAAGACAAAAACATCAAGAATTTTTTGTGAAATCACTTTCAAAATAAAATGTAGCCCAGCTACATTCTTAGAGTTTCTATTCTGAAGCCACATCCTCAGCAAAGACATTGAGACCTCCACAGTGTAAGTACTTTTTCTGTAGTTCTCTTTTAAAAAAACTCTGTTCTTCCCCTTTCCCTCCCCTCCCTCCCCACCTTTTAACATACTGGATAAAGTCTACTGTTTGTTTTAAAATAGATATCTATGTACACATACACAACTCTGATGTTCTGGTTTCTGACAAATGTGGCATTACTGGAAATGATGGAATGGAGACCACCTGTCCATGGCAGTGAATCACCCAGGAGTTTTGGTGGACGAAGTCATCCAATGCCAGAAGCATCCTAGCCAGCTGCATGACTACCAGAGGCTTCCCTTACACACTCCTGCAGTGAGGTAGTGACTGTGTTTCTTTCCTGGCAGCTGGAGCAGTGGCTGTGGTGGTCAGCCCTTGGGCAGGAGCCTTTGCCCGTGCAGGAGTGCTGGTTTGAGCATGTGGCTGTGTCCAGCCTCCACGGGGGCCTGCGTGACACTGGGGCAACCACAGCTCCCCAGGCTGCAGGAGGCAGAACAGGCCACCAAGCTGGGCTGGCAGGGTGGCACTGGGGTGTCTAGTGTCAGGCAAGCTCCATTTGTCTGCCACTGGAGCCTCTCAGTGACCCCAGCCTAGCTGGGACGCTCTCTACCTCAGTTTGCAGCTCCGGGTGCTGGAGATGCTCTGCTGGGCTGGCAGTGGCTGGGAGGGCTGAAGACAGGCTGGCCATGCGGCCAAGCCCGCTGCCTTGCTGCTCTCAGGTACCCCCACAGGGCTGGGCCCAAAGCAAGCAGAATGAGCTGCCTCAGGAGATGCCTCTGCAGGCCTGGCCTGGTGTTTGGTGGCTCACAGGGAGAGGCAGAGGCAGTGCTGTCAGCTGTTTGCCCGGCCTGCGGCCGCGGTCAGGGCTGCCAGCAGGCCCCACGGGCACGAGCAGCGCCACGGACACGTGTGGAGCCAGCGTGGCGGGAGCGCCGAGGGGCAGGCCCTTCCCCACGCGGCACCGCGGCCGCTGGGCTGGTGGAGTGCTCAGCTCCCCTCTGTGCTCCAGCCACACACGAGAGCCCAGGCACGGGGGAACAGCCCTTCCCGTGCTAGCACACGCTGGGCTCCCTGCAGCTCCCAAACAGCTGCCTCCATTAGGGATAAAGTGCTTTCGCCTTGCCTTAGCTGCTTGGGAAGCAACTGCTTTGTCTCAGCCTCGAGTTCCCTGTGCTGCCCAAGTCTCAGATGGAGGAGTGGTTATGTTTACACATACAGTACAAAAATTAAAAGGCACAAATATACACAGAATGCAGCAGATACTGAACAGCTGATAAAAGTCCCTGATGTTGGAAAAACAAGGATGTTGGAGGGATGGCGTGGGAGCTCAGGCTATGATGGTCTTTGCTGTCTGTGGCCATTACTCCCTGAGGTGACCCTTCTGCTTTGTGTCTGTTGTTCCAGCCTCTGCAGCCCTGTCCCGAGGAGCCACGCACAGGGATGCACGGAGTGCTGACGGCTTGGGTGCTAACCAAGGGGAAAGTGGTGAACTGAGCTTGCCACAAGGGTCATGACTCCATTTCTGGCTGGCAAGAGCAAATAAATTATGGGTGCCACAGTGCAGACCAGAAGAGTTTTAGCTGCTCGGAAAGGTGTCTTGTGGCTTCTTGTGAAGTGAGGCAAACTCATAGCCATGGCCAGGCCCACCCCCTCCACAAGGCTGGTTTGAGTATGACCAAGGTATGCCTGCGGCTGAAGGCAGGGTCCCTTGCGGCACTGTGCTGCAAGAAAGGTCACTTCTAGGGCTGCAGCCAGCCTAGGCTTCACTGCAGGACTCATAGATGTTGTCCTCCATGAGAGCAATCACTTGCTCAAATTTGTGCTGGAGCTGGGTGCGCTTTGTCGTGGGGTTTGCGTCCAGGGCGGCCACGATCTGTGGGGGACACAGGCAGGCAGGGTGCTGAGGCAGTGTGGGGTGCCCACCCAGCTCACCCCACCAGACATATGGAGCCCAAATTCCAGCCAGAGCTCCAAAGGCGAGAGCCCACCCAGCCCCACAGCCCCTGTGCTCACACCCCTGGCACCCCTGTTCTCCTGGGGTCCCTAGTCAGGGCTAGGAGTGAAGTGATATATGACAAAAATGCACTGCTGTAATAGAGCTGAAGGGACAGCACCAGCCCACAGGTTGCATGGGGCAGGAGCCAGCCAGGGCCACTGCCTCAGTGGGGCAGGGACAGCAGGCACAAGTTAATTTGGGGGTGACCTTATCTGCATGTTTTGCTCTCCTGAAAAGGTCTATACATCTGGCAGCCCTTCTTCAGCCCAGCCAAATGCCATTAAGTTCAGCTGGGAATAGCCAGCCTTCTCTTTCAAGAAGTTGCCAGCCAAGGCACAGAGAGTAGGTGCATCTGCATATGCATGTATTACATACATTCTGCAATTATGCACACCCCAACAATCCTGCTCTGTGGGACTGGATGCAGGTGTCTGCCTGCGGGGTTACTGCAGGGTGGTTCCTCCCTTGCCAGGCAGAGCAGAGCCCTGTGCTGTAAGCCCCACTCACCTGAGAGCGGTATCTCTTGGCGTATTTGTATATCTCAGCCATGGCGACATTGGTGTTGAACTCATTGCGGTATTTCTTTATAAAGACAGAAAAGAGAGGGACAATGTTAGCCGGATGGAGCATGTGAGTTCCAACCCAGCCAGCTGGGACTGACTATGGTGAAAGCAGGTTGTGCTTGACTTTATTGGTACAGCTGGGTTTTTAAGGAAGGTGCATTTGCTTGCATCAGGATGGGTCTTGGTCTTTTCAAAGCCAGCTGTAAATACCCACGCTGGGCAGCACTGCATATCCCTCTGTGCCCAAAGCCATTTCACAAGAGGGGACAGTGCATCAGCTGTGCTGCAGAATATCAAGAAAAAAATCCTACTTGGTGCCCAAAGCTAAAACACCCTGGCGAGAAGGTTTGATTTTGAGGAACCTGTGGTGCATCGCTGGCAGGACTCTGATCTGGAATGTGTCTGCCAGCTCTTGAGGCTGGTACCAGGGCTGGCTGCCTGGGACTCAGGGCTGTCCCTGGCAGTTGTGCCTGGGAGCCAGCTGGCTGGGTGGCTGTGGGACTGCAAAAATCCTCGTCCAAACTTCCTGGCTTTTTGGCACTGAATTTTGCTCTCAACTCCCAGTGGTGCCAGAGCTAGTTAGGCTCAAGCAAACTCATGGGTCTTTACTGCAGCTCTGGCAGTAATTGAAGATGCTTGGAATTAGGTCAGATGAAGTTTGTGTGTGGAAGTTTCAGGCAAAATATACTTTCTTGTGTGCTCCTTCCAGCATCTAAGCAGTAGCTGATTGCAGCCTATGTGCATCCCCTGCTGTCGCCAGGCTCCAGCAGGACGCTGCTGACTCAACCCCATCCTCTCCACCCGCTTACCCGTGACTCCTCGGCCAGGTGGGCGTTCATCTCCTGCTCACTCAGAGGGGGCATGTCGTGGATTTGCTTGTAGTATCTCTGCACTATCTTCCGGTACTCGGGGATCTCCTTGGCATACAGCAGTTTGTTGGTCGGGGAGTCCTAGGGCGAGACACTGAACTCAGGCACTGGGCTTGTTCCCAGCTGAAAACGTTATCCTGTTTTCAGACCAAGCACCAACACCAGACAGGAACCTCAGCTGCAGCTGGGTGCAGGGAACAGCTTTGCCTTTGGTCCCAGCTGTCACCGGGGAGGACTGCGGTGCTGGACAGCACCGAGGCACGGAACGGCTGAGACACATCAGGGGTCTGTGGATGGGCACCATGTGGAGACGGAGCACCATCCTGCTGCCCTTGCATGAGCTGAACATCCATCAGCTCAATGCCAGTGAAGGGGGTGGTGGGTGTGTGTTTTAATTTGCAGCGAATGCAGGCGAAAAGCACACCCAGCATCAGGCAGGGTGGCTTGCTGCCAGGGGATGCTCTGCAGGTGAGGTAGCACACCTGTGCCACATCAAACACTTGGGCTCTGTGGTGCTGTGTGTGGAAATTGGCAACAAGGGAAGGGCTTCTGCACGTAGTTGCTGGAGTTTCTTGAGCAGCCGCAATGATTTAAGCTAAAGAACAAAGCTATCTTACAAGTTGAACTTCGTCAGCTGAAATGTTGCTTTTGGATATTTCATGTAGCTTTGATTTATTTTGCATTGGCTAATCCAGCCTGCCTGGCCCAAATTGAGTGCACATAAAGTAATTAACAGAGAATACTGAATTCTCTTGATTAATGTCAGCTTGGAGACAGCAGCCTTAGCCTCCCAGCCACACAACTGGGTCGTACTAGTGGAGGCACAACCCTGCTGCCCTCCTTG